GTTAGTCACAGAATAAATGGAGACACTGAAAGCTTCTTTTACTGTGCTGGGGTGGTCTTGGGTGAGATTTTGCTGTGGGGGTGCCCCACATTTTGGTGAGCCAATCTTTGTTCCACCTTTGCAAGACTATTGATATCACTCTTATACAATAATGGTTACTGCTTAAAAATGAAATGTAATTTTACTTTTCATGCGACTTAATTAAGAACGTGCCATCTAAGGAATTAGGTCTGCTCTATATCCCCCTATAGCTAAGTCTTATTTGTTCCCTTTTGCAATAAAATGTTGTGTTTACACTATTTGTGCTCATATTTTCGTAATTCACTATGGACAACAAATAAGTCAAAATAACAGAAATACCAGTAAGTAACCTCTTGCACTGGAGAAACTAATAAGTGTATAAAAAAAAGAAACAGAGACCCTTTCTTATTTTAACATAACAAACCAAAATTTAAATTGTTGGTGTGGAATTGAATGTTTTTTCCTTCTCCTCCAACTTGATGAGTTTCAATTTACAAACTCACCTTACCTACCTGTCCACCTCTCATTACAAACATCACTGACTCCATATGGATTACACAGGATTTGCTCATTTCTCATTTTCTTTTCAAACACATTCACTTACTTACTTTTCTGCATATGGCATTCAGAGTACGGCCCATCCACAACACTGCTGCATGTATAATATGTATTATCTGTATATGCATATCCATGCAGTATTGGATATGTGTTTCTCAGTGATAAATATTCCAACTTTGTCTGTTTTCTCCTCACACAACTTCCCAAACCTCTTTTGCAGAGCGAAGGACTCGTCCTCCGTTGCCCTTCCAGTTGTAATGACTCTAATTCCCTCATGCTAATGGTGTGTCTGAGCCTCAGCCCCTGCTGGGACCACCAGCCTACTTCTAGTGGTCACAGCCTGGCCCCAGGGCGAGGAGGACCACGGACTGCAGAGACAGAAGAGCGAGAGAGAGAGAGAGAGAGAGAGAGAGAGAGAGAGAGAGAGAAAGAGAGAGAGAGAAAGGGCGATAGAGGGTTGTGGGTTGATGTATGTAGGATCTACCCTCAGACAGATTGGCCTCCTCAGGCTAAAAGGACCTGTGGATAAAAGAGGGTGTCATTGAACCATGCGTGTGTGTGCCTCACTGAGTGTGACATCCAAAATTGGCGCCAGCAGCAGATTTAAACAATAAAACCTCGCTGTTTGACCTTACTCACAAAACCAACAGCTTGTCTGCAAGATTTGCAAGACTGTGCGTCTGCACATGTTGATATGTATAACCAGCATCTAAATGCAAAATCTACATGCTTGTGCGTGTGTGTGTGTGTGTGTGTGTGTGTGTGTGTGTGTGTGTGTGTGTGTGTGTGTGTGAGTGCGAGTGCGCGTGCTTCGTGGGAGGCTGGGGCAGTTGGGGGTGGCAATGATGATGAGCAAACACTACAGGGGAGAATAAGCTCTCATTACCCACAATTCCCTGATGCTGCACTGCGCCGGTGAGCAGGACTAGATTCGTCCCATGGGTAGAAATGAGTGGAGTCACTCACTCGATTTATTAGACCATCCCAAACTCCCCTGCCCTCTGCCTCCCCTGCTGCTCTCCCCCTGTCTTCCTCCTTCCCACCATCCCTCTGTGTCCTCCCCCTGTCTCAGACACCCGCTATCTTCCATATGTCCTAAACCCGCTCCACTACATAGTACAAGAGAGGTATCAATCTTCTCATACAGATTTTAAGCAAACAAAGTGGATGAGTATATTTCGTGAAATGTCAAACAATTTCCTTAATGATAGTACAATATTAGCAGCTTATCACCATGATCTTTGGCTTCTGTTTAAATCAATGATCTTAGACTTTTTGAAAACCCTGTAAACTTCATCTTCTCCCTTATCTTTATTATTCCCATTGATTCATCCCTCTCTTCTCTTCTGTAATTTTACCCTCTATTCTCCCCTTTCTTTTTTTACCCCTGGTACACCCTGTGCCCTCCCTGCCTATTTCTACCTGCCTTTCTCCATCTGGGTAGCAGTGAAGTATCCATCCATCAGAGAGAAGAAGTGCTGTTGAAATCCCGTGCCTCCCATCACAGCCCCCTTGTTTCTCTGTGTTTGCATACAAACATATTTCAGCCTGCTTACATGTCAGTGGCACAGGGAAGAATGCAGCATATAGTCATATCTTATACCCTATTATGATTCAGGATTTATGCTTGATAAATATGGGAATGAGATACACAACCTGCAGAGGCCTAAGGGAGGTTTGTTGAAATTCTATTGCAAATGACAAAATAGAAAAAAAAATGGAATCCATGGCTGATGTGTGGGGTGGATATTGCCCCCCCTGTTATTGTAAAAAATAAGGCACCACGTAGTCAGGATTGTGTGTCTTTATTGTGATAGATATAAAGTTGTTGGATGTGAGACATTCTGCAATTTGTCAAGCTAAAGTAGAGCATACAAGTTGAGAAGGTTAATGTATTACTATAATTTATGTGTCTAAACTACAGTTTATTTTGGCTGCAAGAATAAGTGTTGGTTGGAAACATGGAACGCTCGCCGTTTTTAAAAAAAAAGTTGTTAGACATAAAGATTGATAAGTTTTTATTTGGTGCAAAATTTCTGCTCTTCTTTTTCAGAAAAAAAAAAAAAAAAAAACCTGGTGACTGGACCCACCACTCGGTTTCATTTTTGAATGTCCACAAATGGGTTTATCTGTGAAGAGGGGGGAAGAAAACAGTTGTTACCAGAATACAGCAACTCCACATTCATTTAGTAACTGGATTAGTGCGATTTGTTCTATACCTTAAAGCTGAAAAGCTTGATGTGCTTTATAGCTGCGACTCCCACTGATTGTGCAGAGATCTCATTTCACACATGAACGTCTCTCTCTGCTGCTGTGTGTGTGTGTCTCCATACACTCTGTAGTTAGTGCCTTAACATTACACGTCTGCTTGCCCCAGGCTGGATCACAGATAAGAGGAGGAGAATCATAGAGATAGAAAGTGGAGGAATAAGGGCAAAATGTGGTGCAGACAGAGAAGCAATTCTTCATATTTGATTTATTTATTCTATTTCATTAATAAGTTTCCTCCATTGCACTTATAATGCAAACTCTGTTCTTCCAGTATTCACTATCTGTAAAGTTTTCATTTTCATTTTCATTTTTTTTTTGTGTGTGTGTGTGTGTGTTCTTTTTACTTGGTTTGGAGAAGCCTCTTAAACATTAGCAATGAAAAATCAATACCTTAAATAATGATATTTACATAATCAACAATGATAGAAATAAGGCATGTGGAATCCCAACAGGGCGTCATAAGAAAAAATAATACTGATCAGAGGTAGAAAAATGCCCAAATTTGATACCCAAGTATTGATTTACATGCTGTTACGATGTAACAGCAAAACCAGACAGATACAGGCTTGGTACCTACAGGCCCTCTGGGTGCTTGGGGCTAGATTTATCACCACTGGGGCACTCTGATGATGAGGCCGTTTACTGGGTGTCCCTGTAGTCCTCCACTGATTAGCGTCAAACATCTTCCCTAATAACCTTAACAAGAACAACGCCTCAGGACGACATGCCGATGCATACCAGCGAGTGTCTGTGCACACGCTTGCACACACACACCTCCTTGGAGGAAGGAGAAAAGTGCTAAGGGCTACCCATCCTCCTCTCCTCCTCCTCAAAGTCACCCCTCTCTCCTCTGCTCCAGCCATAACTTGGCATCTCTCACTATTTCTGGGCTGAGACCCTCCCTCCCACCTTACACCCTCTCTGCTACCTCCCACCACCTCCTTTGGAACAGACACACACATGCACCAAATTGAGTTGGTTATGGTTCAAGAGTCCCATCACCCCACATAAAGTTGCTCTCAGCATTAATATGAAATAAAGCAATACGAATATATGAATACATGCTGCAGTGTAAGGAAGTCCTCTCTTCTGGAGATAAAGAGGCAAGGAATTAAATTGAGAACCGAATTTATGATACTTTGAGAAGCCATGGGGGTGATTTTATAGACAGTATTACCCACTGTGGATTGTTTCCACATGATATTTCACATATTTGTGTGCTATGATTAGTGTACATACTGATAACATGCTTAGATGCATACACTTCTTGCATGCACACAGGCACACAACATGTAAAAATCCCACTTGAACAACTAAAAGGAAGGGAAACCAATTAAACATCAGATGGATTAAACATCATGTAAATGTGAAAAGTAAAATTCATACAGACTACAAATGATAAGTGACCCACACATGTCAACATGACTTCATTTGCTTGCCTAACCTTATCATTAAACAGAAACAAGACATTTCTTTGTTTCCAATGAACATTTTCTCAACAGTTTTTCTGCCTTTGTGCTGCCTTCAAGGACTGTATGAAATACTGCAAGTCTATATTCAATGGACACCAATAACCTAAAACAATAGACTCAAATCTCAATACAATTTCATTTAAACAGATTAAGTTGCAGTATACTATTTTGTTATAGCTTCTATAGCGATATATCTGTGCTTGTCACTACTTTATTTGCTAATGCCTGCATTATATTATTTTTTTCATATGATGGATCACCAGAACAGCCACCATTGGATTTTAAATATCATAACCATAGGCCACGATACATAATAGGACTGTGTTTATCATAACATTAACTGTATGGACACATTTCAAGCAGGTACTGACCATGCAATGGCAATGACAATAGAGTTACTATTGTCCGGCTATCCATGGTTACACTTACAAGTACTGTACTCCATAGATATCTGGGTACAAAAATAGACGTTGGCATTCGGGTGCTATTCCTCCACACCCACATTCCTAAGACTTGCCCGAATAGAACGTAGATGCAACAGTGCTCACATGGTCCACATTGGTCAACAGCTTTCTGATAATTATTGGGTATTTTACGAGGTACAAGTGAAGGCAGCATGAGAGTCCCGCCGTGACGTCACGCGGAGCCGTTGAGTCAGTCAGCTGAGGGAGGAACTCCGACAACAGAAAAGTGAACCAGGAAACCGAGGCTGCTAAACTGACCCACCGCCCCGGTCTGACGGTTAAACGGCAGTTTTAACGTTAGTAATAACACAGTATATCAATACAGGATTTGTATTTGGTATTTAAGTTGATACAAACCAGCGACATGGCGTCCCTTTTCAAGAAGAAGACTGTCGATGGTAAGTTTGTTCTGTGTAAAAAGCTAGCTAACTTGTTTTTAGCCTGGCTGTGTTGTTCCATCTTAAATTAGCTTTCCACAATAAACCCGTTCAACCTGTTCTGGGTCTGAGTCAAGTCACACTGTTGGCCGAAGTCTGAAATCAGACTTAATGTAGCTCAGGGGAAACTGCTCCTGTTGTATATGGTTGGATTACAGTGTAACTCTGAACAACAATATTGCTGCTGGAACTGTAATTGTTAGCTGTGTATTAACGATAGGTTCTAATAGGAAGAAGGTGTCTTCCTGTTTTGTTTTGTTTGTTTGTTTTTTTGCTACTCTAGAGCTAAGGTAAAGATATTGTTTTCCAGTGACTGAGTAGAAATGGGAAACATTCACCCCACTCCTAATATCTATGACAAAAACGTTAAATATGTCACGCCAAATATATATTAGCAGATCTAACATCTATTTTAACTTTCGTATCATTGCTTTATATTTATTCAGATTAATCCAGTAGGTTCCTCACGTTGTGTTTCTCAGGAAGACATTAATTAAACATTAAGTTTTGCCTTACACTTAGACTCTAAAGCGACTGCATTGTTGTGCTGTGAAAGAATTAGCCACAGTTTAATCACAAATGGTGTGATAAAATTGTGTAATGTTAGGGGAAGGCTGAGGCTGTCATCCTGGATATGTTCATTTTAGTCTGCAATGGACAGGTGTCAAAATTCTGAAAAGCCTTTCAGTTTAAACATTTCAGTATTTTTCCCGAGGCGAGGTAATCATGCTCACAAGGTCATGATGAAAAGCCCTCAGCCTCTCTTTTATCAAATGTAATGAATTGAATCAATTATTCTATTACAATCACTGATTATATTCACTTTAGGGCTGGATTTCCAGAGGGAGGGCAGACTTAATTTCACCTCTTCTCGGCCTCACCTCAACTTATTTGTGTGGAGAATTCCATAAAAATATCAAAGTATATTGTCTGCATGTTTAACAATAGGATCTGTTGGTAAACGCGAATCTTTTCACAGCACCGCCTACCTACTCCTCCCATCATTGTCATCACAGTTTCACCCATGCCGATCATCTGCACACTGTACTTACTGCGCTGTGTTACCTCCACCTCCATGCCAAGCCTCTTTCAAGTCTCCACAGCTGTGACATTTCGCAGTCCCCCATCCTCCCTTAATTTCACTCATCTCTCGCTCCACGGACATAGTTTTTTTTTTTCGCCGTTGCCATGAGTTAGTTGGTTGAAGTGGTTTCTGGGTACTTGGCGGATGAAGAAGGGGGGTCGGCGAGATCACACATATTTGTAGGATGATATCCCTCCCACTTTGAGACGTTGGCGGCACGTCACCTTATACGTATACATGTGTGCTTCTCACAAGTGGTCCAACGCTCTGACGTGTCTTGACCAAGTTCATGATTGCTGAACTTTTCAGAAAGAATAAGTATTTTTTGACATTTTTTGTTCACTTTTTTCCAAAATGGAATATTCCCTATAATTAATTGTTTTAAAATGTTTTCTTCAGTGCCTTATTTATTTATTTATTTATTTATTCATTCATTTCCCCAATATAATGTTAACTCTGCACGTCTTCCTAAAGAACCAGAATAAGTTGTTGTGCAATTCTGTACACATCTATTGTATGTCTGTCTGAAATGGAAGAGGGACCCCTCCTCTGTTGTTCTTTCTGAGGTTTCTTCCTTTTTCCCCAGTTTAAGGGTTTTGTTTTGAGGGATTTTTTTATTATTGCAAATGAGGGTCAAAGGATAGAGTGTGGTGCATGTGGTGCAGTGCAGATTATAAATTTGATATTTGTTATTTTGAACTATATACATAAAAGTGACTTTACTGGCCATTAATTTATTTCTGTATGTATTTACTCTGTATTGTCACTTTATTTAATGCTTGTTAAAGGGCTAAAAGATACTGTATATTAGAACATTCAGAGGCATCCAGTCTGAATCTGTTGTATTTTTTCTATAGTCAGTGTCCAGACTAAAATCAAGTGTTAAAAAGGGGATACCTGCAAATGTATTTTTGTTTTATGTCTCATTGTCCTAAAGGTGTGTATGTGTGTGTGAGACACAGATTACTTGGATTGTCCCTCTCTCAGAAGCCATGAATGAATGAGTGACTTCAGGGTCATACATTATCTCACATGACACCACTTTGTCTGTGGGCGGGTCAGAGCTGACTCATTATTGGTGCGAGCTGTCCGGGCACTTTTACAGTTGCCAGTGTCAGAGTGCGTTCTCAATGTGCTGCTGATTACTCTGGTATTTTGTGCGCATGTGGGCGCACACTCAAACATGTTCACTGTTGAAGCACTGAATAAATGTTTTAGATTTCTTCCATGCAGCTGACCTAGACCCTGCCCTTTCTAACTGCATTGACAAGAAATGTAGTGACATCCAAACTGAAAACCTTCCCATCTTCAGTTGTCCATATTTCACCACTGCACATGTAGCACACTGAAAATACCTGAAAAAATAAGAAACTGTAGACCGTGGTTTGCTTTTAAACCACATTGTAGAAGAAAAAGTGATGGTACTCCACATTCTTCCTGCTGGTCTTTATATTTGCTCTCTGTTCAGCTGTCAGCTCCTGATTATGTCGGGTATGCAAGTCATGAGTGATGCCAGATTTTAAGACTGGAATTGTCTTTGTTATTTCCCTACAAACTGAGGGCATGGGTTAAAGGGGGGATTTTGACAAAGCCAAAGTGTTTCAGTTCGACTGCCTTTCTGTCAAAATACAAGTGATGTGAAACATGTACACAAAGAAAAAACTAAAAAAAAAAGTTTATTCATCAGGTCAGAGGGTGTGTATTTGCATTTTGGTATTGAGAAAAATGTTGATGGGTGTACAGATGTTTCATATCTTACAACGTATTAACCGATCTTTTCTGCTTACTGTCTCTCTCTCTCTCCAAAGACATAATCAAGGAACAGTCTAAAGAGTTGCGTGGCACTCAGAGACAAATCACCAGGGACAGAGCAGCGCTGGAGAAACAAGAGAAACAAATGGTGGGACCACACACTCACACTCACACACACACACACACACACACACACACACACACACACACACACACACACACACACACACACACACATACACGCCCATGCAGACACTGTGTTTTGGGAACAAAATATCCTTACGCAAGGCATCTTCCATAGATTTCTGCATATTGCATCAATGCTTTATTAAGACCCCCTGCGCTCCCAATAGAGACACTCTACATCCATTTCCTACAATCTGGGATTGAACCTGATTGGCTAATGGGTCTAAACGAATAGACAAGATAGATCTGGTATGGTGGCTTTGCTTCGGGCAAGTGAGACCTCTCTGTCTTACATACACACACGAACATTGTTACACGATAAAGCTATATTCGCAGACGCACACATTTCCCCTCTGAAAGATGAAAGAAACCAGCTGTGTCGTCTCCCCTCTGTTGTATTAAGTAAATATCATACAGGACATAATTACCTCCCTGGGGAACCACATTTTTTTCCTCATTAATGCTAACACTAATTAGTCTAGTTTTTTTAAAGCTTTGTTACATGTTCTTAATAAAAGATACTTTCGTTGAGAAATGGAAATGACCTATATTTGCAGTTTAGCACAATCATGACTGTCTGTTGCCCCCCACCATGCACGCTGTCAGTGAGTGTATGCACACACTTGCACATTCACATGTGTACGCTGTGTAACAATGGCATGGAGCAGAGATTATCACCCAAAGATCCAAGTACTTTTAAAGTGAAATTGTTCATTTTCCAATAAATTAGAAAGAGAATGGAAAAGAGAAAAGAAACAGACCTGTCATGAAGGTCCACATTCAGGAAATTAGGACGTGCATAAGTTCTCTTCCAGCTGAGTAAAAGAATTAATGCCCTTTATTAAATTTGAATGTAAGGCATTAAAAAGTTAGGTTTTTTCACAATGCATGAAGGTTTCCATTACATATGTTTTATTAATCACAGTTGGACTTGATGTTGCTTTACAGTAACATACTTTTTCTGTTCTTTCTATTCTTTCTATTTATTTAACATGTTTCAGTAGCTATGGTCAATGAAGATATCGTTTTTATTTACCTCAGATGTTAAAGTGATTTTAGGTCAAATTTGGAGCACAATATTCAGTGGTTTGAATTTTTGCTTGCTGAAACAAAAATCCATTGAAAAAACGCCAGAAATCTTCAGCATTTTGTTGTTAATACATGGGCAAAGCCCAACAGCCACCCAGTTGTTTGCTGCATTGTTTCATAGGAGAGCAGTCTTTATCCATCACCCCACTCCTCCTCCTCCCTCCTTTTCTGACAGAGCAGTAAATAAGGCATTATAAGCTTCACATCAGCAACAGTCCCACTGCTCTCGTCTCTGTCTTTTCCCTGTTGATGCATTCATAGTTTTTCAGATGACAATGCAGTTGACATTATTATTGTCACTTTGTCCCTTTTTTCCCCTCACACAGCTCAATTTTTTTTCTCCTTGGCATTAATTCGATTTTTTTTATTCCTCACAAGCAGGCGAATACAGACTTAGACAAATGCACCTATTCTCTCTCTCTGTGTGTGTGTGTGTGTGTGTGTGTGTGTGTGTGTGTGTGTGTGTGTGTGTGTGTGTGTGTGTGTGTGTGTGTGTGTGTAAGAGAGAGGGAGCCAGAATGTTTATTGCTTCTGCACTATCAAGCATTAATAATTGATTGTTATTTCCTGAAGAGGATGCTTTCAACGCACACGCTAGAAATAAACAAGGCATGGTGGAGCTGTTGAACGTACCAGTGCTAAGATGCCTGGCTAGCTTACTGTAACCTGCAGCTCCACTCTTTTCTCTTGGGATGTTCACACACATTCATGCCCACAGACAGCATCCTTGTGGGCATCAGTGTATTCTGATGTTTACCAAAGCTAAAAGCATGTATTTGCCAGTGAGTAACATTTGATCCGGACGACTGTGTTTAATATTGTCTATATTTGCAAACACATTGGTCTCTCGGGTTTATTGTGGATGTTTGTTTATCAATACATAGTATGTGTATACTCATTTGTGTGTGTGTGTGTGTGTGTGTGTGTGTGTGTGTGTGTGTGTGTGTGTGTGTGTGTGTGTGTGTCTGTGTCTGTGGTGTATTTCTAATGTAAGGTGTGTAAGAAGAAGATATACTTATTGATGTTGAGTGGACAAAAACACATTTTAAACTACATGAAAAGTGTCCTTTGTTCTTTATTTATATTCTTATGCACAGGAACATTATGTCTACATGAAATGTAGATGACGTACTTACCCATAAAACCAGGAGACTCAAGCACTCTCAATAGCTTCAGTGGATTTCTTCCAGATTAAGTTATATTTGATTAGAATTTGGCTCAATTAGTGGCTTCTCTCCCTGCTTTCTTTTCTGTCACACCATACCTCTCTGTTATGTCGAAAATGGACTCAGTTCTTACAATTTTCATTAATATTTTGTGTATACTCACACTCATTTGCTAAATTTGCTATTTTTACTAAAATGTACATTGTTAGTGTTAAGTGGGAAAAATGCAAACAAACCATGTAAGTCCTCTAAGTGTCAGGGAAGTGTACCTAGTGCTCACATCCTAATCTTTCCCTCTCCAGGAGGCAGAGATCAAGAAAATGGCAAAGAGTGGTAACCGCGAGGCATGTAAGATCCTCGCCAAGCAGTTGGTCCAGCTGAGGAAGCAGAAAAACCGGACATACGCCGTCAGCTCTAAGGTCACCTCCATGTCTACGCAGACAAAGGTCATGAACTCCCAAATGAAGATGGCCGGTGCCATGTCCACCACAGCCAAGGTAAAATCCAAGGCACAGTTCAACTGGTCTGAGGTCAGGTTATAAAATGGAAGTATGCATCAGTTTGTAAGAAGAAAATGCTGCACTGTGAACAACAAGAAAGAAATACTACTTATTAATATGTGTATACAAGGACAACTCATTGTGAAAAGCATGTATCAGACCAAAACGGCCTTTTTTTTATTTTTTTAAGAAAACTGTGCCGACCTTACAGATGGATGAATTCCAGATGAATTCCTTTGTTACATAGGTTTGCCCACGCTTATATTAAAGGTATAGTTCGGGTTATTTGACCTTGAGTTGTGTGAGGTACTTATACATAGTCAGTGTATTTACCTGCAGTAGATTTGGACTGGCGCACTCCTGGTGGATGGAGCACTGGCACAGAAGCTGAGCGATGTGATGTGCCGCAGTCACAAAAATATGTTTTGTCCACCGTTGAACTCCCGTATTCCTACATATGAGCGCATCCAAACAGCGCACTGTACAGCGCTCATTTTTAGCGCCTGGCCCCGTCCACAGCAGCACATTGCTCAGCGTCTGTGCTGGAACTCCTGGCTGCTTCTCCAAACTGGGAGCGTGCTGACTCAAATCTCCTGCAGGTAAAGACACTGACTATGTGTACTTCACACGACCCCACCTCAAATAACCCAAACTATCCCTTGAATACTTAAATAACCACTATACATTGAATATCCACTGTATTCACTTCACAAGTTAGGTGTGTTTCTGTTTTGAACATGAACTAGTTTCAGTGTTTGCTCGTATCAATATTTTAGTGTTGTTATTAAAGTATTAATGTTGGGATCTGTTCACGTCTAAAACTGAGTCTTGTAGCATCGTTATTAATGAAGTGTGAAAGGTAGTTATTGGCCAGGAGCGATGTACTATACAGACTTAGCAAACACAGGCAGGTCAAATATAATTAGGCTTCAGTTAAATGGAGTGTGATGAGGTGGGTGTGTTCGTGTGAGAGAAAATGTGTTAATTGTTTTATATTTTATATTTATATTTGCAAAACTTGTTCATACACAGACGAGCATATTTTTCCTAGGAAAAAAAAAGTTGCAGCTTCCATTCGGCTTTTTCAGTGGAAAATGCATCACTCTCCACCCACAATGTTGAAAGCCAAGGGTTAATATGATGTGGAGCAGTATGTCAACTACAGTCAAGCACAGACGGGGTATACAGTATGTTCTCAGATGTGTGTGGCTCAGCTGTGAAAGTAGGCCGCCTTTGTGCTGATCTTTCACAGGAAGGAAGGAGATGCATAATTTGTGAGTTAGTCTGTGCTGTGTTGTTTTAGTATTCGTAATATCCAAATGAGGTAGTAAATGTAGAGCAACTTAAGCTAATATTTTCTTGGGACACCGATTTCTAATAAGTGTGGAAATCATGTCGACTTTGCTTTTTCCAAAACTGCCACTCCTGTATAAAAGGTCATTTAACTTGAGTATTTTTGCAAGAATAAAAGTTGTCTATATGAAGACCATATGAGTCAAACTTTAAATTTAGCTCAGGTTAATTTTTTGCACCCATTGTTTCACCCTCCTCGACTGTGTAAGAACACAGGTCCTACAAATTCCAGCACGATGTGACGTTGTGCTTATTTGCAACACCCCTTGTTGTTTCTTTGCTCAGGAGCAGTTCTTACAATGTGTCGTGTCTCCTAAGCAGCAGCTAAAAACCTTCAGATTAATTCTCTCACCTTCTTTTGTCAACAGACAATGCAAGCAGTGAATAAAAAGATGGATCCTCAGAAGACCCTGAAGACCATGCAGGACTTCCAGAAGGAGAACATGAAGATGGGCATGACAGAGGACATGAGTAAGGACGCATGATACACACACACTTACACAGAAGGAGCTCTGGTATTTACAAGCTTGCCAAAACCAGATTGTTGGGATATGTGTGAAGGGTGCGAGCAGTGACATGTGTTACAATCTGTTGTGATGAGGGAAAGAGAAACATAGAAATATGATTTTGACATACAGTACATATATAGAATGTTTTTTATAAATTTCAAGTATAAATGCCAACACACAATCATCCATAAATACATATATTTACTAATTTGAATGTAAAATAGCATTTTAAAAAGATTGCTAAAAGCCGCCTCACCCTAAAATCCAGACTGTGACTGAAAATCTATGTGTTTGACTTGTACTTCATTGACTCATCTGTCCTTATCTCTTCCCTCCCTGCCTCACTCTCCGTCCAGTCAATGACACTTTGGATGAGATCTTTGATGAGTCTGGGGATGAGGAAGAATCCCAGGACATTGTCAACCAGGTTCTGGATGAAATCGGCATTGAGATCTCAGGAAAGGTAAGAAATTAAAAAGAGAGGGAGAGAGAGAGACAAAGAGAGACAGCGACACTACCCCTACATACCTTTACACTAATGACTGTTAGAAAATGCTTTTTGAAGTTAAAAAGTGTAATAACGATTCAGGTAAAAATTGGAGAAACAGTAACATAGAAGTTAAGACATAAGGTTTTACCACATACTTTTCAGATGTAAAATGAGGTGCACATCCCCCCCAGCAACATGAACTGAACAATAAGCACTCCACATCTTTTACTTGACTGTTAAAATGTATTCCAGCTGCCACGTGGTGGGGCTAGCCTTCAGCTCTTCTAGCGCTGTAGTGTGTGTAACTGCCAGGCTGACCATCTGCTGTGTGTGTGGCTCCCCCTGGGGGGCTCCATGAGTTATTACCTCTCAAAACACAGCACACAAACCCACAAATTGTCCAATAAATGAGCAAGCAGCTGGAGAGAACAAACAGTCAGCTTTCATAAAAACTGTTTTTGTGTTTAGGGATGGTAATTATTTCCTGCTAAAACACAATAAAAAACTGAGCAGATATTGTATCATGCACTTTCTTAGAAAAGCAAAACAATAAAGGCTTTCTCAACCAACCCTGAAGCTGAAAGGAAGTTACAAGACTCATAAACTATGGTAGTTTGGAAGAGACTAACATAAGCAAATAAGCAACCATGTGTTTTTTTTGGAATTATCCTTCAGTGTATCATGTTTTTAAGAGTCAAAACAACAAACAGAGAAATAGCTACAGTTTTTCAGCAAACCCAAAAGTCATTTACAATGGTTCGAATTTGACTATACCCTTTAGTGGTAAGTGCCAGATTGTTGCTGCACAGAAAATATCTGACTATAAACTATTAACCAACAAACCTTTTTAAAGAATAGATTAAAGAAAGCTGAAATGTTAAGCGTTAACCCTGTTTTTTCTAGCAAAGGAAGATAATGGTGATAATAAAAAAAAGTTTATTTAACTGTCACCCACTTGCGTTAAAGGTTGGGTTGTTTATAGTTATTTGAAGGGACATTACACATTATTTATGTAGTATGAATTGTTACATGGAGTTAAACTAAGAGTTTTCCAATATAATTGACAGTAATTATGATCAATCTGACCAGGTCCTTTAGATTTGGCTTTGGATTGGCAGTACACAGCTGTGCACAGCAGGCAATCTTACAAGTACCCAGCTTTGTGTTAAGTTTGAGTTGAGTGTGCTTGCTAATGGGATTTTTCTGTCCATGTGCGTTTTCCAGATGGTTAGAGCTCCAGCTGCAGGAAAGAGCGTCCCCGGCGCTGCCTCCTCCAAACAAGCCACCATCTCTGACGACGAGATCGAGAGACAGCTCCGAGCACTGGGAGTGGACTAATCGCCATCTTTGTATTAATGTTCACATTAAGAACAAGTGCAACATTAATACTGATTTATACAGACTCTGCTATGGTTCAAATTCTACAGGTGTAACAAAGGGTGTACACCAACACACACACACACACACACACACACACACACACACACACACACACCCACACCTGACATTAAGATGTACATTAACACAAACATATTCTCACATTCTTCGACAGGTGCAGATCATTAACACAGAACATCTGATCTATTTATGCGAAAATAATATTTATTATGACATCAGAGTGGCCATAGCCTGAAGGTGGACCAATAATAGATGCTTGACCTGAGGAACCACCTACACTGTTGTTCACCACCCATCTCCGTCTTTATAAGGGCTACATTGACTGACAATGGATGGTACACGGTAATTAAAAAGAGCTTAATGGTTGTCAGTTAACAGATGGAACTTGTATTTCTCCTACTCACACTGTTTGCCTGCTATCTTTGTTACCATTTGTTCATTTAAGACCCATCAGATTTACTTTCTCTCTCATGAAAACATCTCCTGGGCAAGTTTTCTGTTATTATGGGTAAAATGCTGTTAATTGATTCCTTTGTCATCAACAGAGTACCAGAGATAGGACTCAGTTACTTTACCGTGCAAGTGAAAGGAAGAAAATGCATCATTACCCAGTTGATAACTGTCACCACACAAAGCAAGCAAACTGGTCGAGTAGATCATTAATTATCATGTTTTTAAAATCTTGGTAGTGAAGACAGACATATGCATGTGAAATGTGTAACTGACATTGATGCCGTTGGGCGAGGTTAAGGCCTTTACTTTACTTGCATGAGATGATGAGACAGATTGATCTGAGTGCAAACTGCCTGGTATCTAATTAGCACTGCGGAAGCTCCAACGCTGTATAGACTAAACTTCACCAAACACAAATTAGGACTAATGAAAAACTAGCATATCAAAGAGTTTGGAATCGATTGTTTGATACTACTGAGTAATCAAATGAGTTTGTTTTTTTGGCTTCTTGGTTGTTGCTTGCTATCTGATTGTATTGTATTTTATTTTGGACTTGGGATTTACACAGTGATTGTAGGATGGCACTGGTCCTGCAGTCCCTCTTCTCTTTCAGCTGCTGTGCAGTTACTGTCATTTGTGGTTTTAAGCTGCCTCAACAACAAATAGACACACACACACACACACACACACACTACACCACTGCGAGAAAATGATGGATGTGTTTGCTAAAATGACACTGTGATCTAAGAGACGTTTTCTCTTGTTCAGAGCCGAAGCGGATTTCTCTATACAGTGATTTGTTAATGTCAGCCAGCTTCAGGCTTTATGAGAGCAACAGGCATCTGCTCATATTAATGTAGTCTTTATCTTTCTCCAGCCGTTTGTTTCCACACTGATTCCCATTGCTAAAATAATTTTTTTTCAAATTTTCATGCATGTATCTGACATGCTCAATTCACAATTCATATTTTGTTTGTAAATCATTCTTACCTTTACCTTCTAACACTCTCTTGTGATAATTTGAGCGGAAACAGATTTTGACATTGAGTGCTGTTCCATTTGGAAGTTCCCCCTTTTTAAAAGGTGTACAATATGTATACTCATCTTTGTTTTCTTCCATGTCATTGTAAAGTGACTGTGTAAAGGGTTTATGGCTTTTATAAGGAATAAAGTTTCTTCAGGTACGATGTGGTGATTGTACAGTTTTCTGAGCCTCTCCCTTTAAAGCACCATGCCAGTATTTTCGCAAGCTCAACTATAAATTATGTACACTTAACATTCTTGCAGACCGTTTTCCATTCATGCTGTGTATTTTGTGATTTTCATATACAGTATATTTTATCCATCCATTCCAGACACCCATTGATTTGCAGTCATTTCCTTATGAACTGCAGCTAAAAGTATTAGCTGTGATATAAAGTACTGTATATATGATTTACAGTAAATGGAGAAAAAAAAATGCAAAATCACCAGTATGGTCTTTTAAGAAGAAGACACTGGAATAAACACTGACTCAGATGCGCATTCTGCATTTACCTCTGCAGAATGTAATGCTGCATCATGTACAGTATAAAGCGTTAAGATGTATAGAAAACATGAAAAACCGGGATTAGTTGTTGCCATCTTGTTAAAATTAAACAATGAAGTGATATTGATACCATGTTCTCTGAATAAATATACAATACAATTGACAAAAAAACCAAGATTAAATTTGGAATTTAAGAGACGTAACTTCCAAGAGTAGTAGTGTTAAAGCTTTGGGCCTCTGTGGCACCAGCACTAAGAGGCTTCTCAGTAACTTCATCATTACTGTACTATGACTTTCCACTGTGCAGCCTCAGAAATGTGGCAGGCATCGACAACCCTGCTTCATTTATTTCCCCCGACAACACTCCGGTTAGACAGCTGTATATGAATCACAGTGGGAACTGCTTGTTTCTGAATTAAAGTGTCTTCTGGCTTTATTCATGAATCCCCAGTGACACCCCCATGAATTGTACAGTTCATGATGTACACCTGAACAGACTCTCTCTCTCTCCTCGTGTATGTATTCATAGTGTAATACAACGACCTCAGTATAAATGAGAGATGGCACATGTAGGTCATCATAAAAAAGAATTTATTGTTTGGCAGTGAACTGAACCAATTTAACTTTCAGTGTCTGAGACAATTTCTTAAAACAAGTGAAAAATTTTGCACTAACCGGCTATGTCTTTGGCATATTTATATTTTCAATCAAGTTAAATGAAGGCACTTCATATCTGTCTGACATTCTTATAGGACACATATTTTCATTCATTCGTTGTTGTTTTTTTTTTTTAGCTCTTCCAGACATCAGTTAATGGTCCCTGACATAGGCTGAATATTGCAGCCCAGATTTTGTCAGAGAAGGTGTTAGTTTGTTTCTTCACTTTACTAAGATGTTTCGCATCAGTCATCCCAACCAGGTCAGAGTCGTGACTGGCTCGTGTTCTTCTTTTCTTGACACTTTGTCAAGGCAGCAGCAACAAAAGCATCAACATCAACAAATATGAAAGATGAACAGGGAAACAGCAGAGCTCAGATCCATTTGACATAAACCGCAAAAAGTTTCACGTATCCCTGACTTCAGAGCATCAGTCACAGAGTTTGTAAGTAGATCAGCATAATATATTACATCTCAAATAAATAGGTTGTCGTGAAACTTTAAATATATTCATGTTTTGAGCACGGCGATATTTATTTAAATAACTCATCAAACATTTTCTATAAGACAGTGACAGGAAGTTAAAAAGAGGCTCTAATGCACAAACACACACAGCACAAGGACTCTGCTGTTCAATGCAGATGTGAATGTCTTAACACTTCATTTCATCAACAATAACATTTCTTTCTCCTCGTGCATAAAATAAAGGACAAAGTTGAGGACGGTATTGCTAACGTCTGTGTTTAGAAAGGCACAGGACTGATCGATGGGAGCACTCACCTGCAATCTAAATTATGTTTGCTCTCTGTGGTTAATATACATTCAGTATTCATATAGAAAACAAGGCACAGCCAGGATTCAGTATGTCTAAGTGTCAGGATTGGCAGCTGCAGCGTCAAAGGAGCCCATATGCAGTAAATGAAAACATTTTATCTGCACAGTTGTAACTTCAAAAGAAGAATGAATGCCTTGGATGCTCTTTGACATTTATAGTATAGTACAGTATATATTTTTTAAATGCTGCAAATTTCTATTATGGTAAATAAGAAGAAAAACAACATAGAAATTACATTTAAAAAAAACTGTAATAATGGTTGCCTGTACAAATTAAACACACATTTGCTCCTGACAATGACTCATGTTTTTTATGGCAAAATTGTGTTGTTTATCTTATTTTTTATTTTTCCCAGGCTGATGGTTACAGGATATAATTTCTCATCTGAATGTTAAATTAGTGAAATAGTTTTAAGTGCGTCAGCTGCTGCTTACTGCAGGCTGAGGGACGTTTTTATTATTAGGCTTTTCTATTAAATAATTCTCCCACTTCACGCTGGAATAATTAACACATTTGAAGTAACACATTTTTTACTAACTGTGTGGAACCTCCATTACTGAACAGACTCTCTCTGTGTGAACCTGAAATCACGTCATTGGCCTTTGTGCTTTACTCATCTGTGCTATGCAGTTGGGACTGAGCTTGGTCAAACAGGAGCTGAGGTTGAGGCTCGTTTTAACCCGTTTCTCTCTTTGCCGCCGGTTGCAGAACCAGACTCTGACCACCTCCTTCTCCAGATGGAGGCCTTTGGCTATTCGGGCTATTTCTTGAGAGGATGGCTTACTTTTCTCCACAAAGCTGCGCTCCAGAGCCTCCTTAGCTCCCAGGCTGCAGTGTGGAACAAAAGACAGAGGAGGAAGGGAAAGATAAACTCTACATTATCTACAGTATGTATGATATGTTTTGTACAGTATGTTTGGTCTGTATAGCACATACCTGATAGTTGTTCTCCTTTTTCTCTTTCGCTCATTCATTCCTATTTTATCATTGTACAAAGCTGCGGGAAAGAGAATATGATGTTAATTTAGTGTACCTGTAGAGAACAGGAAGAAACACGTAGCAATAAAACTGTCTTACTGATTGCTGTTGTCTGACTAACCCAATCTAACCTACTAGCCCTTTTACATATCAACTCTTTACTTATGTATCAACACAAGACAAACTATGACTTCCTCATAAACTCTGGAGCAAATATTAACGTCAACTTTTTAAGAATCACATATGTCAGCTGTCAGGCTGTTCTATAATGTTTCCTTGAACTTCTTGGTCTAAGAGAGAAGAAAGAATATAGCCTACTTTACTACAAAAAAATATTTAGATTTTTGTCATATTGTCTATAAATCTCATCTTTTTCTTTGTGAAAGCCTTGGTCATTGTACCTCTTAAGACCTCTAAGGATTACTCAGTGTGAGAAAAGAAAATCACTCTCAGATGAAACAGCGTGCAGCTCAATGAGGAGTCATGAGTGAGATATTGGTTTATCAAAGGCAAAAAGTTTGTGAACCACAAGCCACTGTTAGATCTTCATAATCATGCAAAGAGAGCTCAGCTATAATACAGTTATCTCCAATAGATCTTATCACACAAATCAAAAGTACTTGTTTCTCCGTATTGAGATAAGATAGTTAAAGACTACAATGAAATTTATGCTTTAAATGGAGGTTGGATGGAGTGGAGTGGATGTGTGTTATATGTGTTACTCACCACCGGCCAGCTCAGCTTCGTTCAGCCATTTTGCCAGAATGGCTTTGAGTTTGCAGGCGTTCTTAAAGCTCAGCTGCAAATTTTCAAAGCGGCAGATCGTGGTCTGGCTGAACTCTGAGCCGTGCACTGCAGCAAGAGCCTCGCCTACATTAGTCTGAGTGTAGCCTGGAGGTCACAATGAAACAGAAATACTTTATAGGAATACATTGAGCAGGGAAGTGGCAAGGTGTGTGCAAACACAGAAAGGTTTGGTGGCGTCTAATTGGTGTAGTTGGACCGTGATCATTTCAAATTATTTTTTAAAGAATCTCACCAAGTTTGATCCTCCGTATTTTGAAGTCATTGGCAAACATCTCCAGCTCTCGTATCTGTGGGGAGTCCATGGCAGGGGCATCTTCGGGGTCTCGCATGCTCTTCCTTTGAGCGTCGGTTTTCATCTCTCCAACACTGGGGCCCCCAGGGGCCTCATCAGTTGAGAGGAGAGCCGAGGGCAGCGAAGAGAAACCGTGGCTTAATGCACAAGAACCACTACTTAGACCATGATCAGGAAACTTGTACAAGCAAGGAGTAAGAGACCCTGGAGAAAGAGAAAGAGAGAAAGAGAGAGAGAGAGAGAGAGAGAGAGAGAGAGAGAGAGAGAGAGGGGAAACTTGAGTGAGGAAAATTAGTTGGTAAGAGACACAAGGGAGACCCTCAGACTGTAAGAATGGTACTATTCCCATATGTATCCAGAGAGCCTTTATCTCGACAGCAAACAAAAAGTTTTGACATGCCCCTGTGAGACACACTGGACTGCTGGGAATAAAAACTGTTTGTTTGCTCATCATTTTGCTATGATATGCAGTATATTGTATTTGTTGAAATAAATATGACCATTTCCACCCCCTCTTGAAATGAAGGTTTCAGTTTGTTCCTTGATATTTACTTTTTAAGTTTTGGAAAACTTTGAGGAGACCATGTAACACTTGATTGAGGATGTTGCCACTAGGACAGGTACAGGCACAAACACTGCTGTAATGAAGAACAGTATGGGTGTGGGCATTTGGGTGTATTCGGGTTGTTATGACACCTGAGCCAGCTCCATTCACCGATAAAAACATTAAGGTGAGTCTGAAAGGTCTGAAAAAGCAGTTTATTCATAACTTAACAAGCCTCTGTTCACATTTCCTGCCAGGATCTTGTCCTTGGCTGAGTGCTTGTTATACTTGTTTTTAAAAGGTCTATATTCAGTAGAAATAAACACTGCGCAATCTTTTGAAACATGTTCATAATAATTGTGTAACATGTAATATGCACTTTGACATTCAAGATTCCTCATTATTTCTACAGGTGGTTGTTAATGTAAAGTGCTTCGATGCAGTGGAGCTGGTGGCTGTTGCTCTTAGTCACCACTTTCTTCTTTTTTGTTAGTATTAATGACAGATTACTGCCAGAATACCAGATGGTTGGATGACTAATTGTAATTTGGAATATGATGCT